TAGTGCAGAGGACGACCTGACTATCCACCACAAACGTGCTATCGGTCGACTAAATGAGTGAAAGAAAATCTCTGAGGTGAAGACTCGAGCTGAAGCCTCTGGGATATCTGGCAAGAAGACGGAGCCGAAAGGACAACACGTTCACGGCTACAACACAAGAAACCAGCCCCTAACAAGAGCTCAGAAGCGTGCTGCTGACCGTGAGGACAAGCCCAAACCATGTGTGGAACGTCAGATGTCGGTGAATTTGCCACCGAAAGGCTCGAGGCCGCAGAGTAAGAATGTCAGGGAGCTCCGGCAGAACAAGAGGCAGGAGCGCGATGATGGGGTATCTAGCCTGTGGGAGGCCCTACAAGCAACGAGCCCTTTGGACGACATGTCCCTTCACCTCAAGAAGAGACTGGCTGTCTACATGTCTCTGACACAGTTCTACGGTTACTGGGGATGGCAGTCACGCGAGGAAATTGAAGAATTCGTGGCTGGCTTGCTTGACCTCAAGCCTTCTTCCGCTCACAGATGGTGTCATGACTTCGAGACTGATCATTACTTGGAGCAGGATTGCCAGAGTTGGCACCAATAGAGGCAGCTTACCGCTCCATCGCTAAGGCCATTAGGATAGGGAACTCCTCCAAGTCATCAGCAGGGTTCGTTCAAAGAGTAGAGCGCTGCCAGGAGCCTGCCGACCTGACGTTGCTGCTTATTCGCAAGCACTTCAGGTCATCCAGGGAGTAGCTCAAGTCTTACATGGAGGGAGTGAGCTTGGAGGAGATAAAGCGACTAAGAAAGCCTTTCTTAGAAAGCCTTTCCTCTCTTAGAAAGGAGCGTCGAAAGCATCGAGGGCCAGCGCCAATGTTGCCTGCTCCTACAGGGCAGTCCAACGTTGGCAAGTTTAACCGGAGACGTGTAGTCTAATTTTCCAAGTTTTGTGTGTGTTTCTAATGAATTGCTCTCCATTTCGATATTGGGTATTGAGAACAGGTCGTCAAGGGGTAGAGATTGTCTAAAACTGGCATGGACTCTTCGGCACTGAGGGTAAAAATGACCAAAATATTTTTTTGTCGAGTTTCAAATGCGCGACTTGGATTTATGGGTAATCGAGCATGGGGAGTTTCATGGTGAAAGAATTAGGTCGAAATTCGTCAAAATGAAAGAAAAAAGTGCCCGCCCAGTTCGCGCGTTTCTAGATGGCGCGTACT